TCTCCGAGATGTAGAAGGGAAGAATGAAGTGCAGTCCCGTACGCTCTGGAACGTTTCTTTCAAGAAGCGGTAAACTCCTTCGGACAGCTCGTTGAACTTGAGAAGCCAGGATACCTGGATTATCGACGTATTTCTCGTAAGAACGAGCCAACGACCGATAGTTGGACAGCAACTGCCAGTTGAGTGTCATCAGACGTGGTGGTAGCGCTGGCTTGAGAAAGTGATCGGAGGAGATAAATCCAATCGTCTGCCTGCGAGCTGAAAGCCGGGAGGGGAAGTGGTCAGATACGGAGATAAAATCCTCCACGTCTTCTTTTGATGGCTCGAACCACATCGAAAGTCTCCATTCATTGAATACGACCGGAATGGTTTCTGGAGGCGGCAAGGAACATACTACGATCGTTAACGACGGCAGGATGGATGGGGTATCATAGAGTGTAGTGACGAGTGATCGGAGGCCTGCTAAACAGTAGAAGCTTCTAGACGGATACCATCTCGATCTGTGAATGAGGCGAAGGTCCAAAACAGAGCAATCTATCGCTCTGTCGATTTCACCTCTGAAGAACCGAACAGCCTGTCTGCGTCGTTCTCCGACAGTGAAGCGGAATAATGGGTGGATAATCGGATCCAGTGTGACCAAGCTTCCCACTATTCGAAACACCGCCCACGCGAGTGGCGATTTGTATGGGCAGGTGACTTCGTAATGTGGATATTGGGACGAAGTCATGTTTTTGACATCCCAGAATATCGAGGCTATTGTACTGACGCCAGGAAGAAGGGTGATGATAAGGTAGAAGCTACCGCTGATCACGATGGCTGTTCCGCCGGTTATGAAGACGGGCGATACTTGCAGTGTCCACAGAAGATCGAGAACACCGGCGAAGAATATGAGGAGCGCGATCTCGAGAAGGCATGGCAAGGTCGAAAGTAATGTTGGTACGCCCCACTTCTCAAAACTGTCTCTCCGCAATTGACGGAGCGCTTGAGCTTCCTCTTGGGTACGGGTATGAGTTTCACGTCGATGCTCTCTAAGCCACTGTTTGCACAACAAACAAAAGAGGCTCGAAGAAAGACTGAGGATGAGGCTTAGAAACCAGCACGCGTTAATTCGAATAGACGGTGGGCTTGGTTGGAAAGGAACAGCCTGTGTGTGCACAGTTGCATTCGCTCCGGAAAGATGAGATGATATTTGCGTAAGGAGAGCGACATTGATATCCGCAGGGTCCTCTGATAGCCACTTGTAGGACTCAACAGTGAAAGCAGTCACGACCGCGGAGAATAAACCAGCCTTGATACTCAAACATGAAGGAAAATCCGCTAGTCGCACAAACGGAATCACATACGAAGACGAGGAGAGTGTCGATATCTTCCTTCCACCCATTGGTAGTCTCGTTATCGTACTTCCGAACATGATTCGACAATACCTCCCACGCGTTCTCCACCAAACTGGGGTCCGGATGCTGAGAACGCTGCCATGTATGAGCGATAAGATATGTTCCGAGCAGAATAGGTCATACCTCAAAAGCTTCCTTCGTTCTATCCGGTGCCCGGCCCTGGGTTACAGAAATTGTTTGAGCTCGAGAAGGGTTATTCGGGAATGCAAAGTACCTTGGATGGATGCTGCGTCTGCGGCAAGGCGCTTGCGGTAGTCGAAGAGGACGTGGAAGACATGAGGGTAGCGCAGCTGGGAGGCTGCGAGACACAGGGTCTTGTGATCCTCTTTATATGCACAGGTATCACCGCCTCGTTACCAAAAGCTGTTGCTTTCCCCGATAAAGGTTGATGGGTGCTCCCTCTTGACAGATGGGTGTCATTCCTCGGAGAAAGGTAGTCCGTCCTGCAATTTCCGCCGAGCACGACCAAGCCGCAGCCTCGAATTGAGAAGATTCGGGTAAGATTTCTGAAACCAAATTCGAAACGGTAAGGACAGTTGTTTCGACTTTTCGCGAGCGAGATTGGATAGCACAGAACAATGGAACAACCAACTGTGCGTGTTCTCATTTGCTTTTGACTTTTGGAAGGATCTGAAATCAAAATGGGAATGACTAGCTGGCGATGATCGCGGGAGGCATTCCAGATGCGTACCTCAGGGTAACCTAGCTGCGAGAGAAAGAGTAATCTGACGTCCAGGCATACACGCATCTCCCCAATCTAACCCTGCCATCTCTCGATGTGCTTCGCGTCACTCTTTTTATTCTTTGCAGCTGTCCTTTGGAGGCATTTCCCGAGAAAGGTATGGGTCTGGTGGACAATCTGGTCGTAGTGTAAATTTTTTTCAAAAATCGACGGGCACGATATCTTCGTTCAAGTACGCACCTTGTTTAGGAAGCAGCATTCCTCGCACCCATACTCGGTGACCATCGTACATCTACCCGCCTTCTAGTCTCTTTCATTCTTCGTAAAGCTGATTTTGAACGATTCGACCATCTCAAGAACCATGGGAGAAATGATTGATTAGTAACGTGTACATGTTGCTCCACAGGACAAGAGTGAATCGCTCGTAATTCGATCAATATAATGGAGAATCAACTTTACACACCTGTTTGGTTATCAGGCAGTCGTTCGCAGTGGGTCTTGTGGGCTACAGTGGGTCATGAGCGCGGAGAAGAAGCGTTGTTAGGCTCCGAATCAATACTGTATACCGTACCAAACAAAGGCCTCCTGTTTCCGGTCCGGGGACCGGCGGCAGGCATTTGTTTATCTCTGACCATAATCATCATTGAATATTGATGTTCTTGACTTCGCCCACAACACGCTCTCTGAAAACGGTGAAAGAACCATTAAATGTAAAGTTGAAACTCTTCCTTGGAATTTGTGCTTACTTCTACCTACAGATTATGGTCTTTCCCAATTCAACCGTGAACTCACCCTCGACGAATTCGCCATCCTGGGCCTGGACGAAGTTTCGCTAAATTTCCGACTCCAAGCCCCTTGAGACGTCCTGTATACTCAATACCGCGTGTCAAAATCTGCGATTCAACCGTATTCACAGGAATATGACACACTCTGAGAACGAAGTAGGAGTCTTGTGAGGATGCACTGGGTCAGATGAGGGTTGGAGAAGACGGACTGAAATATTCTACCGGATGATATGACGAAAGGTTCGTAGAAATATTCCTATGCTTTGGCCCTGTGATTTGGACTACGACAGGTCATTCTTCCATTCGGTCCGGAAGCAACTCGCAAGACGTGTATAAAACCCTATCCTGTTCTTCCGCACCATCAAGATAACCATTCCTCATTCTACGATGACCACCACCCAGACCCAGAATAACCAACTCGGTGGACGTACCGCGATAATTGGCACTGGAAGCCGAGCAGCTATGTACATCCGCGGAATCGTTGAACGCAAAGCTACCAGCTCCGTCGTAGCTCTCCTTGAGCCCAACTCGATACGGGCAAAGTACTACAACAACCTACTCAAATCCCTCGGTGCATCCGAGGTACCGGTATACCAGCCTAAAGAGTTCCACGACATGTTGAAGAAGGAGAAGGTCGAGACGGTGGTAATCACTTGCGTTGACAAGTTGCACCATCTCTACATTATACCTGCGTTGGAAGCTGGCGGTGGGTTTGATTACCATAACGACAACTAGTATGGTGGACGGCTGAACGTTCGTCCTTGCTCCAGTGAGAGTTCTCTGCGAGAAACCCATGACGACAGACGTGGAAAAGTGTAGGGCGATTCTTGATGCGGTAGAACGCACTGGTCGTCATTTGACTGTGACGTTCAATTATCGGTGAGCCCGTTTTTTTTCTCATACTTGTGGCACGCACTCACGAACTTTTTCATTAGGTATAACCCCACTCACGAAGCGGTCAAACGGACCATAGCAGATGGAACGATTGGCGAAGGTGACCCTGATAATCTCTTCAGTCTCTTCGTTCTTCACTGGTTAACTCACTTTTGTTACTAGTCCTCTCGGTAAACTTCGAATGGCTCCTCGATTGTGTCCATGGCGCCGATTTCTTCCGTCGCTGGCATCGTCTCAAGGAGTCCTCCGGCGGTCTCCTCATCCACAAAGCAGGCCATCACTTTGACTTGGTCAACTGGTGGATCGACTCGTCTCCAGTTACCGTCGCTGGGATGGGTAGACTCGCGTTCTACGGGCAGGAAAACGGTAAAAAACATGGCTGGGTGAAGGAGGGTGGATCGTATGAGAGGGCACGGGGGAGTGAAGCTGCGAAGGAAGATCCGTTTTCGTTGAGACTGGAGGATGACGAGACGTTGCTGGAGCTCTATGCGAATGCTGAGGGGGAGGATGGCTATCACAGGGATCAGAACGTGAGTTTGTGTCCGACTTTGGTTGTTCGTTGTGACTCACCGGCTGTTCTCGGGGTTTGAAGGTGTTCGCCCCGAATGATGATCAGAACCCGATAAACATCGAAGATGATATGTCTCTTCTCGTTCGGTACCGCTCAGGTGCGACGATGACTTATCACCTTACGGCTTACTCCCCCTGGGAAGGTTATCGCGTCATGTTCAACGGTTCAAAAGGCCGACTCGAGCTACACGTCTGCGAATCGGAGTACCGACTACCCTCAAGTGAAGATAACAGAATGGATGGTCTGATCCATGGGTTTGCTCCCCTTCCTCACGAGGGAGAGACAAAGGTCACCTTACACCCACTTTGGGAGAAACCGAGGAAACTCGACGTGGAGGTGGATAACAGTGCGCACGGAGGAGGTGATAAGAGAATGATGACGGTACTTTTTGGACCGAGAGAAGGGGAGGAGAGGGATACGGGGGATGCTTCGAAACGTAGAGCTGACGAAAGAGACGGTGCCAGTGCTTTGGCTGTAGGGTTGGCGGCAGACGAGGGATTCGTGACCGGGAAATTTGTAGATATCGCAAGTTTAGGCCTAGGGGAGCTGTAATCTCGAGTTCACGGACTCTATACATGTACTAACATCGACCTGCAGGCAGCCTTACAGAAAGGTCTTCCTCCGAAATTCCTCGAGCGCATCACGGTCGGGTAGTGGCCTGTGTGATACAAGGTGTCACTTTGCCGGAGTGGTTAACGGGATCGCCTGCTATCTTTCAGTGAGAGCGGTTGCTCTTTGAGCGCGTGTGTTCGAATCGCACAGGTGACGTAAGAGTCCACCGAGATCTTTTTGTCTACTTTCTGTCAACCGAGCGACCCTTTTATTCAGCACAAATAGATGGAAAATGGGCAATCGTTCCGTGAAAACCAACCCAACAAGCCGTGTACTCAGGATTATTCAAAGAAGCGCGAAGACCTGCGAAGCCGTGGGTCGCCATAGGCCTACATAGAGCTGGATTGCTGTGCCTCGAGAGCCGAGCTACGAGGAGGTTAAACCACACACCCCTAACTACGAGATGCCACGGGTCATTCTGCGATCTCCGCTATTATCTCCACCACGATAGATAAGCTATGATAGTCCTTTACAAGATATAGATACGTGTAACGGAAGCGACACTGAAAAGTTCGGAAATATAACTTTGGTATGAATGTAGTTGGGATACGCTGAAGGTGGTGGGTACGAGGTACCTGCGATTATTAACCACATACTATTGACTGCTATAATCAGGTAGTGATTCCTCCTCGGCTCTAGAATCATGTACCATTCGGCGTAAATCGGCTAACTCCCGACTCATCAAATCGAGTCTCCTGGATATGTCCATGTTGGGCTGACCCGTCCCCTCGCTCTCCGTAGTCTCACCTACATGGCCCTCTACCCTGTGCCCCGCAATCCAACTCGCAGGGGCACCGAGAGAGAGCTTGAACAGGCCAGCGGCTGGTTGTGGACCAGGAACTTGAGGGTAAGGAGACACGGTTCCCGCGTCTTCATCAAGTTGTTGCCAATGGCTCCTCTTGGTCTGGACTCCCTCCCTCGTACGTTTTTGCCTCCGGTACCACAGCGCCAATCCCATCAAGAGGATCGCTGCTATGCAGCCAACCACCGATCCTGCGATGACTCGGGCCTTAACGGTGCTCTGTTAGCTCGAGCGGGTCAACGTAGCGTAGAAAAGACAGCGAAGTGCACATACGGGACTTGAACCGGGAGTAGATGGTGGTTGTGTTTCAGAGGACTGTGTGGACGTTGTAGCTACCAGCTGTTTGACAGTAGTTGTCTGAGAAATCCGTGCCGGATCCGTCTCAACAGTAATGGGAGTCTGGCCTTGGAAGAATGGCGGTCTGTTAAGAAAGTCCTTGGTGAACATCATGCACAGTATTCCACATGGATTGAGACTCACGCCGACGCCTTTATAACAGCTTCCAATGACTCCTTCCTCGTGTCATAAGCTGCTAAGATCAGAGGTCTTCTGAAGGTTGGGATAAGTTGGTCAAATTGGTCAAATCACAAAGCCCACGAGCATCATGCATATGCGACGCACCCTTCATCCTTAGAGAATTGGAATACCATTGTGCCGGTCTGCAGTGGGGTTGCCTCCGCTGATCCACTAGGGAAGTCAGTTCTAAAGGCAATCGGGGTCGTCGCAGCAACGAGCACAAAACTGGTTGGATCTCCTTGCTCATGTGTCCATACCAATGTAACAATCTGGTCGAGTGCTACTTGTCCTGGTATTCCCTCAACATTGAAACTGGCCGTATCTTTGAAAACATAGAGTAAGTAGCTAGATAAAAATTGAGAACTGAGTAGACAGGTAGATGGTCACTCTGGAACGCGACTCACAGAAGTAGCAAAGGGCGGAATACCATGGTCAATGACGGCCAGAACAAATGGGATAAGGATAGAGCGATAAAGATTGGTGGGCTTGCCAATTTCATGTCAGATTTATAGGGGTCCCATGCCCATGAATTGTTGGACAAGGGTTATAACGGTACGTCTCGCCGTAGGAGACCCAGGAGATGGTCGCCTAGGCCATAAAGAAAGGGTCGCAAGTGCACAGAACTCATCATAAAGTTGCGTGATGCGGGAGATCCTGTGGAGGTGAGGCAGGAAAGATCAAGAGATATACCACTGTAACGGTATATGATGAGCAAGTTACATGATGTAGATCTAGGCAGAGAGATGTAATTGATTACCGATTTATACCCCCTGGAGACAATTGCATGGTTGTCCCAATCCTTTACCTGGCAAACTCAAACATCAGATAGAGGGTCAGATTCAGGGAGCGCCTCGGTGCGACTGAGGTGGAGACGAATGTAACGAATTGTTTCTAGAGAGAATGATATCTATGAAAACCCTTAGATTCTTCCCGCTGGAGGGTTCAAAACTCATCATAGCTCGACGATCAATGATGAAGAGCTCTTCCCTGGTCGCGCTCAGGCCTCTCCCTCTCCGATCGTCGTGAATGGCGTCGAGGAATACGTTGTTGACAAGGTAATTGACTCACGACGTTGCGGTCGCCGTTGGCGCTTTTTGCTTCGTTTGGCGGGTTATGGCCCTCGACAGATGGGTGTCCTATCCGTCCCTTAAAGGTTGTTCAGCTCTCGACGATTGGCTAGCCGCGGTTCGTGATGGCCCTCGTGTGGAGTGTTCTAATAGTCACGTACACGCGTGCCTGTAAAGTTCTAAGGGAGCCAAGAGAGCGTTCTATTTCGAGAAAGGCTGGGCCGTTTCTAGATGAATTTATGTACTTCAATCCGGGACAAATGGACCTGCTAGGATCGACAATCGGTTAATGACACCGAAGTGGTGATTCTCGAAAGAGATGGCATACCTAGTGCTTAAGGTATTCCGTCCTTTGCGGTTTCTAAATTATGGGTCTAGAGGAGTGTGATATCATGAAATCCGGCAATCTGCTAGCACTATGACATTTTGATTGTTGCTATAGTGTGGTTTGCGCCTGGTTTGTTCGCCTCCCAATTCAACAATACTATCAGAATAAACTTCAACCTCAACTCACCTAAAGGCTTCGTACGCTTAATTTTATCCAGGTCGTCTTTCAAATTGATTCTGACCATTCCATTTGCGGACGTGTTCGGAGGGCCTGACGGGAAATGATATTCTTCAAATGATATCGGGACGAACTTCCTCACGAGAATCTATGTTTATTGTCTATATTTTTCCAATAAAACGTTGTCTGAGTACAATTCTCGTCACATTCCGACCGTGTTCGAGCGTAAACATGAACCTCGAAAGAGCCATACTTGCAAGGGTATTAAGAAGTAAACCGCGTAGCTCAATTTGAGCCAGATGCACGATGTCATTCCCTTATCTAACTGCTTGGGTGCTCCGAGCCACACGTTCTTTACGCGCCCAGTCACCTGATGTGAAATTTTGCCCAAATTACATAACTTCGGGATCAACCTTCCTTTTCCGCCCACTTCCACTTCGAGTCGCGAATGTCTTCGACGCTCACGGCTACGTCTGCTCTCGACCAAATTTGCAGACTCGGGAAACAACCGTCGGCCTTCCATGCAAACAACCCGAGTAAAAAAGTGCAACTGGCAGTGCAAAGTCTCATCTTCCTCGCCCAATTGATGAGAACTCCCGAACAGGCGACTACCTGGGCTCAGGTGCGAGCCAGATGGTCAAACATTGTCGAGCCATGGATTTTGTGGATCCTTCAAAAGGTTCTTCTCGCGTCAGAGGAACCTATCTCACCTGAAGGAGTGGCTATCTTCGATGGTGCCCTCAACCACATTCCTGAAATCCTCAGTTATCCCAGCCCCGAATGCGAAAACCTCTTGAAATCTTTTCAGAAGACTGTTGTTCAAGTATGGTTAAAGACGATCACGATAGGGCATGCTAGCTGGGGAGAATGGACGATGGCGGCGGGCTTAGCGACGACGGGGATAATCAAATCGCCACTGGCAGCACCGGTTCCATCGCCTACAACTTCGCCCCGAAATGCGGATGCCATTCGCCTTGGATCTACTCTAATCCAGCATTTCAGTATCGTAGTTCGACGTCTACCCGAGATGGCCAAAACAGAGCTCAATCAAGTTCTGTTTTACATGACAC